CCCCATCACTGCACTTAAGAAGTCCCAGAAATGTTTGGGAAGTGGCGCTAATGAATGCAAGTGTTTATCATTAAAATTTCTTCTGAACTGAATGCTTCCTGTTACCTCATTTATGAGGTGGATTCTTCTAGTTCTGTACAAGCAAGGCTCAGAGTTTAGCAGGTGTTAATCCTGGTCATGTGACAACGGCAGGCGCAACGGCGACGAGGAACCTAAAGAGCAGACAGAGAACACATTCCTTTGGGTTTAATTCCCCTTCACGGGGTATGTGAAAACAGGCTTCTACTGAGTGCTCTGGGAATTAAAACACACTTGAACCAAACAGACCCTGGCTTCAGATCTCCAGCTTCTCCACGCTTTCCACTCCTCACCGGCGAACAAGTAGAACGGTCCGGCAACACAAAGCATGGGTGTGGGGGAGCAAGTGCGTTTGGGGCCCCAGTTCTTCATCCTTCCTTGTCACCTTCCCCTTTGCCATTTCCCTCGGCAGTGCCCTTCCATTCTTACCCGGTGGCCACCTCCTGCGGACTGCTGATCAGCGGAGAGGAGGCAGGCCTGAAAGGGGCTGGTGGGCTTGGGCTCTGGTGCTGCTGCCCTCGGCCACCTCCACAGAAACATGCCTGGGCTAGCCGATGGAGGACGACAGGAACATAGAAGGGCTGAGTCGCTCCAGGCAAGGCCAGCTCTGAGATGAGCCAGGCAAGACGAGAAGACCTGCCCAGAGACGCCAAGCCTGAATCACTGATCAAACTCCTAAATTAATGCTTACCGTTGCATGCTATTGGACTTTCGTGGCTGTTATACATTACTTTGGTGGCAAGAGAGAATTGCTACAACAGGTTTTCATTCACGTGACACCTCAGGATGTGACATCTCTCCCAACTTTTCTGAGAGAAGGATCTGGGAGTAGAGACCCCGCAGTTACCCTCCGCTCTCCCGCAGACCATGAAGATTCACTCATCTATAACCGAGCACCCACTTTGTGCTAATCCTCGTAGCCACTCTGAAAAGTCACTTCCTCATTCCAGGGAATCTGAGGAAATGAGGAACTTGAGGTAGTCTGGTGACATGATTTATCTAAAATCACCGTTAAGTTGGCCGAATCAGGGTCCAAACCCAAGACCTTGGATTCTGAGTCTAGTGCCATTTTCCGTTACATCAGAAATGATAACCAAGGCTGCAAACTAGCAGAATGGTACTCTGTCCAATAAAGACAGAAAAAGTTTAAAGAACACAACTGAGTTTTTATTCCATCATCCAAGATAACTAAGTATTTGACCATTACAGCATTCCACCCCTTACTCAGCATTCTTGTTGCTTAAATGGCCCTTAAGATATTGCTATTCCCAGCTGAGAAACACCCAGACGACCTGAGGCTAAATCATACAGATCCTCTATCTCCCAGTTTTATCTTAAGGATTTTATGTTCAAGCCCCCTCCCCAGCCAATCACTAAATATGTAAGTTGTAAATTTGAAGATCAGTCGTTGCTTAGTGGGAATACTAATTAGGGAAAAAAAGCAACCCAAGCAAATATAAATTGGGGAATAGCGGAAACACAACATATGCACCAACTTTCAAAGGTGGTCTCTTAAAGAATGTAGTAACAAGCCAGATCCTAGGACATCGCTCCTGTTTGTGACTTCATTTCTTGAAAAATATAGACACAAATCAATTAAATGTTGTAAGATAAGGCCGTTTTCTGGGGGCTTATGTGCAGGGGGTCTTAGGGGCTGAGTGGGAAAGGGAGAAACGGCACAGAGGAGAGAACGAAGCTGACATTCAGCAGATGAAGACCGCACCACGAGATAAATTATATAGACATTGCTAGAAACTCCAAATTTAGTTTGCCAAATCCAGCTTGACTGTATTAACATATTTGATTTTATACTTATGTAAAATTTAAGCACCTGGGTACTGACATGGGAAGAGATGCTTTAGGTAAAAAGCAGTTAAGCTTTCAGAGTGTAACAGTCTGTCAGTGATTGTCACTTGAGAGTTTAAAAACTGACTTTCCTCTGCCGTGTACTTCCTTTATACAAGTATCTTGCAGTGGAAAAGTCCCCTTTGACAACTTCAGAGCATAGGAAGAAACCACAGTGGTTTGCAGGCCACTAATTCTGTTACAGATCAAAGCACTCAATTCTCTCTATAAAATTCAATTCTTTAGACAATGTGTTTGTGATTGACTAAGTACGTTTTTAAAATGTGGTGCCACACATGCTACTATTCAAGATTTTGATTTAAAAGTTGGGACGATGTAGTTTGTGGTTCTTGGGTAAAATGAAGACAACTAATCAGTTTTCTCAATATAAAACTATTTTCAATATAAAAAGGCAACCTAGACTACTTTTATTCCAGATGTTAAGCTAGGCTTGTTTAAATCGTTGTTTTTTTCCCACTGCAGCCCAAACATACTTAAGAACAGCAATCATTTGGAAGTGGGTCATCATTTGCATTAAAATCTTATTTACATGGCATTTATATTTAAAAGTGTGATCAAATATAGTTTACAGATCAGGTATCTCATGAATAAAACTAACGAGATTTGAAATCAGAGTAAATTCTAGCTTAAGTTCAAGACAGGTGGTCTCAACGGAGAATTCCTGTCGGGCAGTGGTTAAGGCCTCTGATTGCTACTTTTCATCAGAAGAATCTACACACACACAAAATTCTGCATAAAATTCCAGAGGGTTCTCTAGATTAAAAATCTCCAGCTGTGAGCAAAAGGTCGTTTCAGTTAATACACACACACACACACACACACATACACAAACACAGTGTGTTTCAATTCCCCGTGCCCAAACCAGCAGCCCATCCTTAGCCAGGGTTATGCTGGGAATTTTATCCTTAGCCCCAGACTCCCTGCAAGGCAGCACAATCTCACCACAGATTATGAAAGTCAAGCTGTTGTAGTTTATCTATGGCTTTCACCTTCCAGATACATAGGCTCTATTATTAGATGTGGGCTTCCAGTAGCATCTATCTAGCTTGTGGCTGTCCATTTTCTGGTCACCATACTTCACAGTGGCTCAGGGATGTTGTCCAGCTTTCCTGCACAAAGTCACAAGCAAGAGTCTGGCTCCAAGACCACTTTTGAACAGCTTCTGAAGTCCTCTCCATCTGTCCACATTCACTGCACCCTTGAATGTTGCTGTAGACGGTATTTTGTCCATGCTCTTATCACACATCATTCAGAAGCACCTTCTTCTTCCTCTGCGATCATCTTTCCTAAATTACTTTCAAAACTTTTTCAGCAATCTTATTACTGCATAGCATTAAGGTAGGTGCGGAGGCAGCCAACAAAACTATTGAAGACATAACACAGAAGCGGTGGCCAATCCCTATCTAGAACTCCATTTATTCCATAACCAATCATAAGGTCGTGTAGCTTGCCCTGGAGCACAGAAACACCGTACTCGTGTGCAGCTTCCTAAAGGCAGGTGTAGTCTGCTGTTTCTTACCACTGACCTTGTTACCCATATGTCTGATTCAATGCCCTTGCCTTCTAGTGACGTGGTTGATTTTGAAAATGTGGACTTCCTATGTGCAAACCAACATGGTTTTTTTTGTTTTTGTTTTTGTTTTTTACACAAAATAACCATCAGTGAAGCCAATTCTACAAATGTTTCCTTACCTATTTATCACAGAAGAGAACAGCTTTCATGTATGCCTTTGGCTTTCTCTTTGGGATTCCTACACTGGCGAACTTTTAATTTTCAGGTTGGGCTCACCTTTCTCTTTTGATGAAAAGGAGTCTGTTAAAAAGGAAGCTGGACAACTGCATGGTACAAATATGTTCCTGAGTAGCAAATGAACACGGTCTTCAAATGAACATAGACCAGGTCCTTAAAATGACAGCACTGGAATACATCAGTTTCACAGAAAAAGGCCTGCTTCCCGAACTAAGGGGCTTTCAATCTATTTTGAAGCAAGGGAGGGAAAAGGATTTGGCAAACGGTGATAAAGCCCAAACATACAGCAAGCTTCTCCCCTGCTCTTCAGCCCTTTGATGAGCATGGGCAATTATGGACACGAGGGCTCCTGTGAAAATCTCCCAGCGTGGACAACCAGTGTCGCTAACAGGCTAATGAGCCAGGAATGTTCCCAGGGTGAGGGGACAATGGAAAACCATCTCTTCTTGCCATCTGTCTAGTGCAGTGATGTAGTTAATGCTGGAAGATTCCCTTCACATGGTTTATAGAGTTCCAGGGAGTGGCAGCTGAAGTAGGATTTAAGTGGGTTTCTACCAATACAAAATTGTTGATGAAACCGAGTTAGTTCCTAGGCTGTTTAACACCAACCAGGGTAGTCTGTACTTCAGTTTTTGAGGTCCCTTTTGTTGCATCCTAAAGCGTGTCTGTTTTAAATGATTTGAAGAAAGCAGTCTGCTAACCAGAGTGTTGATTCATCCTAGGAGCTGAGCTCTTGTAAGGCACAAAGGAATTGGCTGATCTAAAAAGTTTTTGGCGTTTTCAATTATTTAGCGACAATGTAACTAAAATTATGAGTAAACTGTGTCTTAAGATTTTTCAATGGAATCTTTTTTAAAAGGTTTTGTTTTGTTTTTTGTTTTTTTTGCTAGGAGTACATTTTGAGAGTAAACATGAATTTCACCTTGTAGTCTGTTTTTGTTTGCAGCACAGTTGATGAGTACTGGAGATCATGAGTTGGGCACAAGCAGGCTGAAACTAAAATGCGTAACTTACCTGCACTGTGGGGTATGTGTTACGTGTGTGCTGTGGGCTGTGATATTAAGTGGTGTGTATCTGCCTGCCAGGGGAGGAGAATAAACTTTTTATATAGCACAAAACTTAAAGACAAAGACGAGCTCTTAGCATCACACTGCCATTATGTGAAACACACACAATTTTTTTTTGTTTCCATATAATTTGGGGTGTGGACAGCAAATATAATCCCCTCTAAGAAAGATCAGTTTAAGATAAAATCAATTAAGACAATTAAGAATTAGTCCCATAATAACATGGTAAACAACTCAAATGGCTTTTTTTCTTTAATGCTAGGAAAAATGTTCACCTTTCAATGGTGAAAGTACTGTTAACACAGGTAGAGAGCAAACAAGGTAAAAAGTGAGAGCACATACAGACACACACAAATATATATAAAAATTGACCAGAAATCACAGGACATTTAAGCAATGTTTTCTTAAGTAGAACTATTTTTTTTTGTACTTTAAATAGACTAAAATATTTGGTGTGGGCGGAGGGAAGGAAATCAGTATTTCACAATTTTAACTTGAAAACCAGCTGCAATAAAGCCTCAGCTCATCTTGTTTAAAAAAGAAAAAATGGAACCACGTCGTACTTTTGACAACCATAGGATTAAAGCTTACAAAGAACACACCTACCATCTACGTCACAGTGCACAGAGGGCGCAGGCTCTGAGGACGACCACGGGGAAACGACGACAGACTCTGCATCCCTCATATACTGCATTACAAAATTAATGCTGTATTAGAAAAGTCTCACCTCCCGGGCTTGGCATTCTAGCTGGTAAGCACCTGAGGGGTAGGGGGCTATCACAACTGAGGGCGCCGCTCAGTCTGGATCCGGACACCCACTTTCTTCCCCTGCCATTGGCCGAGGCATTTAGTAATCTCAGTATGACAGTCACTGAGAATAAACACTACATTCTAACTTCTTGAGCAGGGCAGTCTGGGGAATGTAGCAGAGGTCAGAGCATCAAAAGCCGTGTCTTCCCTCAAGCGAGAAGACATCCACACCACCACTCAGTTTTCTCTTACTGTGAAAAGTGTAAATTTCAGATTAGCATTAACCCCACAAGACATGATTTGTACTTCCATATACACACAGGCTCTGAAGAACTTAGCGATCTACTTGCCTCTTCTGTTTCACTAACCCCCCGGTTACCTTCCCTGGGTTACTAAGCGTTAGTCTCACCACCACCACGGTGGTGCCATTTGCTGTTGTTATGAATCTCACATTCCATCCACAGCAGTGACTAGAGGACACAAATCCAAGTATCGGAAATGTGGACAAGTCCCGCCGCAGCTGAACTTAACTATTACAAGGTTTCAGGGAGGGAGGGTTAGCGGTAAGAACGCCTAGGGGGACCGTTCCTCCTACTGCGCCCAGGACTCTCCCAGGTTTGGAACTGAGAGTCCTGCACACAGAGAACACCTCAGTCCCAAGTGTCCCAGGGTCATCGGTCACCCTGAGGATTCCACTCACTCTTCCCTTAGTATCACTAGATAAAAGCTAAGAATTTTCAAGATCATAAAGCTACCTGTGAGGGCATCCACTAGAAAAAACCCTTGAGGCCACTGCCAATGGCGGGCTCCCAGGAAGTCCACGGACTCTTTCTTTAATGGTGTCAATTACAAGAATAGTTGGTGGTACCTAAGCAAATTAGTGATCAATGTATAAAAGTTTCATTCATTCTTGAAACCAGTTTTCAGACAAATCCTCTAAAGCTTCTTCTGGTTTTGTCCAGTTATATAGTATTTCACCGACTCGTTCTGAGATTTTCAGGGCTAAATGAATAATTCAGTTTTATATGTCTTTTCATTTTCTTTTTTTAGGTGAAAACATTCTTTGCCAACTATTTCCCACATTCTTGCTTCATATATTGAAAAGAAGGCTGCCAACGGGAGATATTCCCCTCAGATGACGAAGGCCCGGAATTGTTAACTTTTCACAGCGTTCTGCCAGAAGGTCTGGCCTTGGGAAGTGATGGCAAAGAGTGTTCTCAGATAGGAACATTTTTATTTTGCCTACGACGCTGTGATCTAGGTCAACAACTGCACAGCTGCTTTCGGCATCGTCTCTAGTTTTTCTTGTTTTGCCCTCTTGCGTAAAAATGGTTAGTGTCGTAGCTTCACTATCACTAATAAAAAGATGCAAATATTTATGTCTTAAAGGTCAGGGTCAGAAAAGCAAAAATGAAGCCTGAGGTAAAGTTGGTCTAAAAAGTGACCAATTTGGGTTCTGCGTCTTGCCTAGAAACAGGATTTTTAAAATTAAATCCATGTAGATTACCTACTTGCTACATGTGATGACTTCCCCCAATTTAAATTAATCTGTGTATGGTAGTTACATAAACCGACAAATGACTACATTCTTAAAGCAGGTACATACATTCACCAGAAGAGCACCCTATTCTCACCAATGTATTTTTTTGTTTGAACAATCCAAGAACATGAAAAACGAAACGGACGTATTTCTTAAGGGACTTACTAAAAAAAAAATGAAAATGAAAACCTCTTTGGAAGAGACTTTTAGTAAGACTTCTATCCCTACAGACAGATGCTGAGAATCAACTTTCTGCTACGGCATTATAAAGGGTAGAACTTAATATAGAACCAGAAATATGGCAAGTTATCTAGTGACTAACAGTGTAAAATAGCCAAAAGCTTTAAAGCCACGGAGAGAGAGAGGAGTGTGAAGTGTGAAAAGCAAAATATATAATGAAGTATTTTTAGAGTTCTAAGACTTCACTTTTGTCCTTGTATCAGTATATTATGGAGTTCATGGTTCAATAAATAATCATCTTTAATTAGAAAGAGGAAATAAATCCTTAGTTCCTCAATGAAAATTCTGAAGAAACAAAGAGCTTTCATGTTTTTGAAGGGTAGGAGAACATCATTTTGTAGGAATTTTTCTGGAGAAAAATCCTCAGGTCCTTTGTGTGGTGTTGACAACCCCTCTCACTCCCATCAACAACAGCGTTATTCTCCCAAGGGCCCTTCCACCTCCACCAGTGCTTGAAATGTGGGGTCGATCACAGACCTCATGGCAGCAAATCAATGGACACTGAAGTTAACTTAGGCTAACATACTCTGGTCAGAGGTCTGTGGATCAGAGATGACCCAAAGAACTTTGGAAAATCCGTTTCTGTTGAGCACAGCTAAAAAAGTCAGGTCTGAACCACCTTCGGGCTGCCCTTAACCACAGGAGAACTTCACTTGGTAGTGCTACCTCCCAGGTATCTTCAGCAGCTTGGCAATCTTAAGCCAAGAGGAAAATAGTGAATGGCAATCTAACATTAAAAAAACAAAACAAAACAAAAACCCTACTAGTACCTTTCAGAGACCACTGGACGTATAATAATTTAATGAATGGGTGTCTATCGTAGTTTTATTTGATGTTAATGAATTCCAGTTATGATTCTTAATTATCAAGATACCTAAAAATGGCATACTAACTGAACTGCCAAATCAGGACTCTGGCAGAATAAATAAATTACTCTGAAGGTCTGAAAGGAAAAATGTCTGCAAGCAAATTAAGGAACTCTCAGTGAGCTCTGAGATTTAAACAACAGAATTATTCAGGGATGTTAAAATGTAAGCAGATAAATGACCCCTTCTGTTAAGGTTTTCTTAGGAGTGTGTATGCATATGTAAATCCATATACACACATAATAGAATTTGTTTCCTGCTAAAAAGATTTAAGGCAGTTATGTTATGTATAAAGTTACCTATAATATCCAAGATAAAATCATTCCTATTCACGAAATTACATGAACATATTAGACAAGTTCTTACCATAAAGACTTATCACGAGGCCGTCTAAATCTAGGATAGCTGACATTTCCTGGTTGAGGCTCTGAACACAGGAATTCCACTCTAAGAGATGATTTGTCCCTCAATCTCCACATATAAAAGGTAGTCTGAACAGATAAAATATTCATGAAAGCCTGAAAGGGTATAAAAGGAGCTCAATAGTAGGATTCTGACCACTGTCATCATTACTCTTGATCGTACTAACAACCCAACACGCTCCAAGGTGGAAATGGGCTGGTGTTACAGGAAAATCATTGGCTGCGACTGCTGGAAAAGTTCCAAATCCCAAACATAATTTAAAACAGAATCTGTAATTCATGCTATTTACTAGTCACAAAGATATTTAACTGGAAAGAATTTCTCAGCCATCTGTAAGATTTAAGTGACTGACCAACTGGAATAGCATCAACCTCCATGGTGAAGAAATTAGGACCCTGGCTATGAAAAGCACCATCGTTTTTGGTCTTTAGTAAAGGTCAATGATGTCTGCAGATAAAACATGGTTGGCAAGAGGGCAACCAGCAAGATCACAGGGATATGTCCCATCATAAGAAAGGGGGGAAGAATACAATTCAGTTGATGAATTATTAAGAATTTAGCAAAGTGAAGCTCATGAAGGAAAGAAACTGGGCATAATTTGTCAAGTCTGAACATTGGTGAGCTGGATCAGAGTAAAAGATCACATGTTGCTTATGTCCACAGACTACCTAGTTATCTAGAGAGACAGGGAAGATGGTGTGGAAGGGGGCAGTCTGTGAAATTACCATGTGCAGCCATTTAAAGCAAGAGGACATAAAGACAAGTTTTAAGCAAAGTGAACATTCTCTTGTGTTACTTTATAACTCACCATCAACCAGACCAGGGAGAGTGCTGATTATTGAATAAATGTTCAAAAGCATTTTGCAGGGCGGGGGGGACAGAAAGATCTTAAAGGTTTATTTGGACAGCTTTTGGAAGAGGTAGAGAAACCAACTGGGTATATATAATCCTTTCCTTGATTTCAATTAGCAAGAGACCAGACTGTTCTTCACCTTCAGTGTCTTAGTCTTGATTGAAACCGACCTAAAAGGCACAAATAAACTGAAATTAAAGTAATTTTAACCAAGAAGAAAATCTGACACATTTAAAGGCAGAAGAATCAAGCAAAATTGCATATGGTTTAAAGTTAAAAAACAAACCAAACTAGATATTAAACAATTTGCAATTATATACCTGGAATACAGAATTAAGGATACAGAATACAAGTATTTCGCTTTTGACAAACGTTAGGCAGATTTCCTTCTGGCAAAGAGGCAGGTCCTGAGAGAAGAAGTAACCCTACAGCTTGAGGGCCAGGACTAAATCCCAGTCATCTTTTCTTTACTGAGCACCTACCACTGGATGAAGAGCAGACATCCACAAATGTTTACGGAATGAATGGATGGCATTCTGTATAATTAGTATAACTGGCATTAGCTCAAACCGAATGAGGAAGGTTCCCTGAAGTAGGAGAAAAGAACACAAACAGGGTTGTTCCAAAAAGTGGGCCGAGGTCCAGTCATGTGTCCTAATCCTACACAGTGCTTACACAGACTTTTGAAACTTTTTATTTTTAAGCAGTAAAACTCTTTTTTAAAAAGAAATCTATAATAGAACTCCATTACAGGACAAAAATGAAGCTGCCACTGGTTAGACCAAAGTCAGTGGGAATGTCACCGGCCTCTGATGCCCCACGACGTCCCTCTATAGACCCCTACGTGCAAACAACCATTCATCTTAGAAATGTGACAGAAAATATGTTCATTCAGTTCTCATGTGAAACAGAGAAAATTACCAGTGCCATGGAAGGGGAATTCTAAATAATGTTGCTAACTTAAATAAAGACAACAATCAACAGAGAGGAGAACTTATCACTCAGAAGAATGAAAACAATCCCAGTAAAGGGGGTGGGGAGGGAAAACAACAAAAACTAGGCCACAGCAGACAAAACAGAATGTAAACACAGCATCTCCTTAAAAAGCACGTAAAATCATCGAACAGCAACAGAGTCGACTGCTCGACAGGTGCAAGCTTCCAGTACTACAGGTGTTTCCGAAGAGCTGAGTCTCAGTTTAATGTCGCACAGAAGAACCCCAACACCGTCGCAGAGATGCAATCACTGCTGAGACGATACACTTGGCACTGCTTCACGGGACACAGCAGCGCAAGAGGAGCTGATTGCCAGGACTGCCTACCACTTTCAAGGTTGTTCTCTGTCCCTGCAACCGTTCCCCAACATCACCACAGGTTCTCAAGTAAGCTCAAGTACCCCGTGTCCTGGGTTATTTCCAGACGGCCCGACAGTGGTCATACCTGAACACATGAAGCCATCTGTCACAAAATAAGGCCACCCTCAACTATTACAAATTATAGACCCCTTCTGATCCTCCAGTTCCGATCTGTGTAGAGATTTCTATGTAAGCATTCATACTTAACAATGAGTTTCCCTTGAAATGAGACTTCACATTTGATGCCGTTCTCTTTGCCAGGAACGCCCATCTCCCTGGCTTCCCCCACCGTCTGCTCCCTTCCCGCATCACATGTCAGCTCAAGCGTCACCTCCTTGGAGAAGTCTTCCCTGCCATGCTCTACCACAGTACCCTGTTTATCTCCTTCATAGACAAATAAGCTGAGCAAGGGCCACGGTAACTGGAGTCTCAGCCAAGGCAGGGACCAGATCTGTCTTGTTCACCTTTACCCAAGGCAAAGAAAGTTCCTGGAGTACGTAACAGGTGAACAGCTACGTATTTGTTGAAAGAATAAAAAACTCACCATACCAAGTTTACATGAGCACATACGTGTACAGACAAATACAGGAAAATGGGGAACATCTAATAGAAAACAAACAACCAAACACTGACAGTACTGAAAATGATACCTGTAGAGACAGCTAAATACGGTTTCAAAGAACAAGTACCAAAGATGTCTTATATCTTCAAAAATATGAAAATTTACTAGTAGGGGGTCAGGAGTGGCTGTTTCCCATTTCTAAAGAGATGCAAGCGAGAACTGTTAAAACTGCAGACTTAACGTTAGACACAAGGATTCTCTTCCACTGAGCAGGCCACCAGCAGAGCTCCCAGGATCTGTCAGAGCATAAAGGTCATTGGTTCTAATAGTCAATCACATATTCAGGATCAGTTAAGAACACCTCTGCTGTAGATAATTAAAAGCTAAAAAAACTTGCTAGTAAACTGCTTCTCCCTCAATTTTTAAAATTCTGAATTCATAATTAGGTAAAATAACATACACTTTATAAATTTAATACAACATACTTTAAAAACAGATGGCCCTTATCTGCTGATCGTACCTCAGCATCACTTTTGTGGGTATCGCGCCGAAGCAACTGCATTTACAAAAAGGTCTATTTCCTAATACAATCTGGTAACTAAGTCAGCGAAACCCAAAGAGCACTAGGTCTGCTACTGAAATATTTTAAGAGAGTCTTTAAAAAAGAGTGTTTATATCTAGAGATTGGCTTTAAGAAAAAGGATAAATATACTGAAATCACTGTAGCACATCCCTGAAAATAAGTATACTGCCATTTGTGTTTTTATGAGGTGCAAGGGTAAATCACCCGACTGCTTGGTCACGCAAGTCAATTACTGCCCGCTGAAATCTGTAAGACAGAGGGACTGACTCTGTGTGAGCTCATGCTGTGCCCCAGAACTAACTGGCACCGGCAGCATCAGTGCCACCATTACTAGTGACAGGTGTCAGGCCACACAGTTTTGGTATCAGGGCAAAAGCGGGGATGGAGAAGAGGGCTGAAAAGATTTTCTGCAAAGTTTCCTTATGGTGAGAGTTAGCAGTAAATAACACAAAAGGACGGACTGTTTAAGACCCACTGAACACATTAAGGTCAAGGATTTCAAAAGTTAATCCACTTTTCTTCCCCCAAGAGTTTATTTTTTTGGTAAAAGGCAGAAAAATTAGTTTTTCTACAAGGGAAATCTGCTTCTAAAGGATAATTTGAAAATCTTGATATATATTATATATTAAAAAAGACACACAAAAATAACGGAGAAGTGGGAATAACAGAATAGGTACTGTGACTTTATAAAGGCTTGCCTAAATCAAGAAGCAGCACACACACACCTAATTTCTGCAAACTAAAAATGGATATAAACAGCACAATACTGTGATACTGGACCATGATGCATCACCTGTACACGTAACTACTACTGTTATTCATAAACCTTTGGGACACTCAGTTTTAGGCCCAACAAGACATCAGTCAAGTCTTTAAAGTCTTCTCTTTCTCCTTTATGGGAGGGTACTTCTAGACACTAATCTTCCCATCTAATATTCGAATATAGGAAACCGATTCCACAAGGTGCTTTACTTGACGAGGCCTCAAGTGCTGTTTTCTCTCTGGAATTTTTGGACAGTAAACAGTCCGCAGGGACCACACACAAATACTATGACAGAAGAGTTGTTACATGGAGTCTTTTGATGGCGCTTGCTTGGTGCCGAAGCTTTAGGACATGCTCGAACAACGCACTGAAGGGGATCCCATCTGAGTCAACACTTTGTCCAACCACTGCAGAGGCCCATTCAGATGGAGTTCGATCCAGCAAGGAGTGCTTGTTACCGTCTGCCTTCTAGTTAAAAGAATACAAGAAAATCATTATGAAATTAAGAGAACATGGCTGTGTTTAGCTACATGCATTCAGAATTCAGACAAACTAAAAGGCTGTATATACTAAGACCTACATTCTTTTGCACCAGCATTCAGTCTGGATAGTGATTACTTTGAAAATGATTTTATCTTCAAAGTCTAACAAAATACTTCTAATGACTTTTTTTGTTTTGCTTTTAAAGACATGAACAAAAACATTCTTTTCTCTTCAGATTAAAATTAGGAGGGTGACCTCACTATTCACCATCCAAAATGAGACATGTTTAAGAGTAAATGAGGGGGGTTTGGGTAGCTCAGTTGGTTGAGCATCCAACTTCTGCTTAGGTCATGATCTCACAATGGGTTCGAGCCCCGGGCTCTGCGCAGGCCCCTCAGAGCCTGGAACCTGCTTCAGATTCTATTTCCCTCTCTCTCTGCCCTTCCCCTGCTATTTCTCTCTCTCTCTCTCTCAAATAAATAAACAAACATTTAAAATAAAAAACAGTGAATGTAGTCACTAGTAATAATCACACCGGGATAAGAGACTTCAACCAGAACTGCCCCAAGCAAACCAGAATATAGTTACCTTACTTACTACTCAGCTATAGAACAGAGAATACTCAATGGATTGGAACATGGTTCAAATTTCACGTGTACCACAACAAAACAGAACTCTGATCTAAGCTTATCAGTGAATGTTAAGAGTTGGGGTTCAGCTTTTCCCTGGCAAAGTCAGAGGACATCCTTGTTAGAAACACCATGGAGGCTTTTGAATAAGAAACACCTTTAGTACTTGGACGTAATGGGAAACTCTGGGAATTACACATTGTTCAATGACATCCTGTCACTTGCACATACTGACTTTAGTTCTTATTTATTATATACAGTAAGTTGGTGAGTCTGCTTGCTTCTTCAGCATGACAGCCCTTCAGACACGAGAAAAGGCCATTATTAACTCTTCATCTCCAAGCGACACACGCTTGATAGAATTTACAACTATATTTCAAAGGATGTGGTTTTCTACAGCAGATGGTGTCAGTGCCCCACTAGAAGCTTTGGATTTTTCAGTGTTCTCTAGCCAACTTCCAACCGCACGTATCGGAATTTCTGTTCCTGAGAACCTCTCTGCTCCTGCCACATGTGTATCAGACCACAAATGCTAGGAAACAGCAGCCTTACCCAATGACAAGGGATTGGCATTTCAATGTCCAGTTTCCTTTCCTTCTGGGTGAGATAATTCTGTATGTTCATTACTATTTCCCAAGTTCTCCTGGGGGAATATGCTTGAATGACCCGCCCAATAGAGTAGATGGCTTAAGAATGGTATTGGCTACCTTCTCTCCCCTACCTCACTTCCCTGTTTCCTCCTTCCTTACCAGTGTTTCCTCCATTTCCTGAACAAACTCCTTGCATTTGAATCCTTGTCTCAGGGTCTGAGACATATACTAAGACATGCTGATATGGGATCATTCCTAAAACATGACATGTGGAACATAATACAACAGTATCAAATCTGATCTATACAGACTCACTGTCTGACTTTGACACAGTTACTACATTTTGGTTCATGCAGCCTAAAAACGGACCAACACATATCACAAAATTCACTCACTTTATCCATAAAGCAAAGGCAAGACTGACCCTTCTTTATCTTCCCTTCTATTCTTTCTGTTGTTCTCTATATAAAGTTTCTCCTGCCTTCTACCTCTCTCTCAGATCAGGCATCCTGCAGGATTTTGCCAAGATCTCTCTTAATTTTGATTCTGTCATTTGCTGACTTCTGGGTATTTTCTGTTTGTTTTCAATCAGATCATTTGTTACTAGATTAGTTTAAACTTAGGGAATAATTCTTAATCTGGGTCGCTGAATGGGGGAACAAGTAGGTTTAAGAAGGTTGTCACTATACTTATTTGGGCACAGGAATGTACCTGAGAACTTATTTATCCCATTCACTCACTTCAGTACCAGTCCACTCTACTCTGACATATTTCTCAAATACAAATTCTTTGCACATCTGTATTTCCTGTTCACTACATTTCTTGATTATTTTTTTTTAATGCTGGCAAATATGCTGGTGTTTAAAAAACTGAAAGATAGTTTTAGAAATCTAAACATTAGATCTACCTCCTCAGCTCCAGCGTCATTAAGGATAAAAGATTCCTGGTAACTACCAACAGTCCACAGATATATGAGTATCTGACATTATTGTTAAAGGAAATGCTAAAGGAAACTACTGTATTATCCAAAGTAGATATATCTGACTCTCTACCCATAAAAACATATTATGTGTTACTGCTTCTCATAATTACAGATTTTAAATTCTCTCTGGGTTGATGAACAGCAGAGTCTGCCACGCACAAAGGGCAGTACCTCCCTGCACCAATTAAAGCTGTTGTTAGCAGGAGCCCCACAGACATACATGGACTTTTCCCTGAGCTCTGCAGTTCACATTTAATCCAGCCAAATTTCTGCTACCATGTTCTGTAACAGCCTAATCTTTTGAAGAAAACAGATGTATGACCTGAAAGCCTGATATCAGATAGTAACCATTTGAATTTAATTTTTAATATCAACTCGGGCTGATTAAAGTCCAAGGCAAAAAGGAACTCAGCATCCTTTAAAGGCATCATATCTCAAAAGGGAAATGATTAAAACAAAAGAGAAAAGAAAAATACACAAAATTAAGTATTCTACTAAAAGAACTTGGGCAAAATAATGACAAGTCTTCTTTCTAGGATATAAACATTTAACACAATATATATTTTTATAAAAGCATTCAATTAGCAGACTTCAAGTCTCATGATCTCAAGAGGCACACACCTCCCAAAATTTGTTCAAGATAATCAGGTGCAAATGAAATGAAATACATTTTGAAGAAGGGTCCGAACTACTGGGCAGAACAAGAACCCTAGTACTACACTATATGAGTATCTTCATATGCAGGTGCTCAGACAGTGAGCAGTATGAATGGGAGAAAGGCTAAGTATTTTACTTAAAATTCTAGCCTTAAAATATGCCAAGGGAAGTCTTCATTTTCACTGATGTGGAATCCAACCCACGGTTTAATTTGGTAATAACTTAATCTATCTTATCCCCTGATGACAAATTAGCTTCCGTAAAACTCAATTATGGAATTGTTACTAGTACCCTTGGAGAGGGTGCTAAGAGTCAAGGAAGGCTTTCATCAAGTCTTGTCTCCACCACTTACAATGCATCCATGGGAAAATGATCAAATCTCTTCTAAGCCTGTTTCCAAATAAGTATTCATTTGAACCATTTTTTGCAATCTTATATATATTAAAAAAAAGATGACAGAAATTCTTAGCCATGCTGAAATGAATGAGGTACTGCATGTAAAACATAGCACAAGACCATGGGGGAAGGGAAAAGAAGAAAAAATATATATATAATATACAATATAATTATGGAGAGGGAGCCAAACCATAAGAGACTTTTAAATACAGAGAACAAACTGAGGGTGGAAAAAAGAGTGGCGTGGGGGGTGGGGATGGGGAGGGATATACCCCCATCTATTATGGAATAAAGTTCCACCTCTTAACCTTATATTCAACTGGTCAACTTATCTGTCCAGCCTTCTTCTTCTTTACTTTCTATGCTCCAGTGACACTGAACTGCATTCTGTCACCAGGATCATTGTGTCCCAACCCTTCAACACCTAACTGAACTCCTGTGCATCTTTCAGAAGCAGACTATGGGCCAACTCCACCAGAAGAAGACTTCCTGGAGCCTCAGTGAAAGCGCCTCTGCTTCCATGAACTGACATGAGCCTTCAAATATACCCTTTTGGTGGTATTTAACACCTTGCATTACGCTACAGTGCACGTCTGCACAGGTTCTAATTCTGTCTTCTGTAATGTCAGCACAGGAATTTGCAGTAGTTTTGAATGTAGTGACCTCCAACCCCCTTTTGTTATTTTGCATATGCTCTGCTGAGTCCATAACCTTAAGGAAGATAGATACAAGTGAACTCCAGAAGATACAAAGGATGGGGGAAAATAGAATTATACATTGTGGAAATTCAAGAACTGAATGTGTATTCCATACCGGTATTCGGCTCCCCACCCTTTCACAAAACTCATTCTTATGGTGCACATTCTAGTTAGTTGATACACGGCTTCAAAACCCTGATTAACAGACTGAGCCAGAAGAGCAGCAAATTCCTGGTTGTTGAAGATCTTCAGGTTACAACCTAGGATTGAAAAAAAAAAAAGTGTGAAAAGAATATCATGATCAAGAAGATAATTTTAAAGGGGCTACATATCTTAAAATGCAAGGACGCCAATCATCTCCTGATTCCTAAAATTAACAGCAACTAGAGAAACTCAGCAAGCTGACACAACAGGTTTGTTGCCGCAGGCAGATGTTATCTGTACCTGGTGGGATTTTACACACTGTTGCCGGGTGCCAGCCGTATCTCTGATTGCAGTTGGGGCTCTGCACGAAGATTGCACTGTCACTTAGGCACTCTGCAAAAACTTCTCCGCCTATGTAATACAAGCGGACTCCTCTTCCTGAAACAAAATACATATGGGATGAGTTTTATAATGTCTCCTGTTTCAGCATGACTTTGGGGGAGTCTTCTTGGAGGAGTATTAAAATGACAGAGGTACTGTGATAATCTTTTCCACAGCAATGCTTTTCTGAGGTCTAAGGTCGAAACGTACCACTCTATATTTTTCCAAGTATTTTTTAAAAATGATTTTATTGATTTGAAACAATACATGCTTGTCAAAGTATGAAAACTATGTACAAAGGTACATGTATAGTAAAATAAAAAATTTCATACAAATTTTATATTATTTTAAAATAAGTATAATAAATGGAGTTCAGTTTAAATGAATTAACTGTTTGGATAAATATGCCTTCGTTATAATAGACAGTATTTCCTTAAAGATCCCACTAATGTCAAGAAAAAAAGTGAATAAAATCCTCAAGAAGTTAGAGTCATTTACCCTTTTTAAAATTATGTATTAAGGTGACCACCAAATCCCTAGGCAGATAACCAGAAATAGGGGAGAAAAAATTATGCTGGAAGATTTTAATATACTTCTTCAGAAGCTGACAAGTACACACAAAACATCAGAGATATTAGGATTTAAAAAACCAACTATGAAAGGCAGAGATCTCAGAGAGCACCGAAGACTCTCACTGCTGGTGTGTAGACATTTTTTCTATTATTCAAACACGAATCTAGGTGCTGCAGTTAAGGGATTTTTCAGATGTAATTAAGGTCTCAAATCCACTGACCTCAAGAAAGGGAGAGTCTCTTTTGGCGGGCGTGACTTAATCAGATGATAGCCATTAAAAAAGACTAGGCTGTCCCTGGCAAACGTGATTCAACGTGTGAGCGAGCAGGTTCAACAGCAGAGATTCTCGGCTGCTGACCATGAAGATGGAGGGTCCATGTGGCAAGGAATGCAGGTGGCCTCCACTTGCTGAGACCAACCTCGAGCTGCCAGTCTGTGGGAAATGAGGACCTCAGTGCTACAACTTCAAGGAAGTGAACCCTGTCACAATCCTGTGAGCTCAGCAGAGGCCCCCAAGCTCCAGAGGAGGGCACAACAAAGTCAATGGCACAATTTCCTCTTGTGAGATGGAGACGCCTAACCCATGCCTGGACTCCTGACCTGCAGACACTGTGAGATCATAAATCCGTGTTGTTTCAGGCTGGAAGGTGTGTGGTAACAGGTTACACAGCAAATGAAAACTAATGAAACATTTAATACATAAACACAGAACCTGATGTCCTGCTCTGTGACCACAGAATATCTGTAACACAACCAAACATATACTTGACCATGAGGAAAAGATTAAGTCCAAAAAGCAGAGATTTTCCAAGCTATAGTCTCTCATCAAAACCACCCAATAAGTTAGAAATTGAAAGTAAAAAGAAGATCCAATAATTTCAGCAATCTAAAATTAGGTAGAGAAGGAAACATGGTAGAGGAAACCTGTTAAATTTTTGTGTAGAACCCCAGTTAAAACCAGAATTATTTTAGTTAAGGTAGGGTGGGTATTCGGAAGCCTTCCTTACCCACCAGACACCTAAGATTATACAAAATTTATACATCAAGCAAGATTTGAGAAATTCCACACAAAGCAATGTTAACAGATCCCTTCAGCTACAGCACGTCTGCAGAATGATATTCGTTCTTCAGTGACCAGCATTCTTTCTCACAAGAGGTGATGGTTAATTCATTAGAAACAGAAGCAAACTATTGTTAAAAGAGGTTACTTTATGGAAATGAGAACTGTGTTCAGGTATATTAGTCAAACTTTTTCTACCTCACTGCCAAAAAAACTACCGGAGACTCAGTTGTTTATGTGAATTGCATCCACAGAAATTTAGCACATTATATATTAAAACTGCAACTCAAAAAAAACCTATTAATTTGCTCAAAGCTCTAATAAATCTATTACATACTGACATAAGTAACATGTTTATGAAAAATAACTACTTCCCTCCGTCTCTCCCCCCCCGCCCCAAATCAGTAAGAATAGCAATGTTTTACATTTTTGTAAAACTCTCTAATGTCTGGCTTAAGAGAGTTGGATTCTCATCAGATTCTACATGTAATCTCTTGCAAAATCATATGCCTTGTTGCTTCTGGTATATTTCACTGTACATTCATGAGTGAATGAGAGTGAAAAAAAAAAAGGCAAACAGCATCTCGGTACCATTATGAAAAGAGTTTGACCTCACAAACTTTCTGAAAGGGTGTCTGGGACTACCTAATTTTGAAATCCTCTGAATTATTTTTTGAACTATGTACTAAATAGTAGTTCTTGTTCAAAATATCTTGCTTCAGGGGGTCCTGGATGGCTTAGTTGGTTAGTGTCTGACTTCAGCCAGGTCATGATCCTGCAGTTCACAGGTTCGAGCCCCGCGTCGGGATCTGTGCTGACAGCTCAGAGCCTGGAGTCTGCTTTGGTTTCTGTGTCTCCCTCTCTCCCTACCTCTCCGTCCTCCCACTCGCACTCTCTCAAAAATAAGCATTAAAAAAATTTTTATAATAAAATGATCTTGCTTCAGATTAATGGTGAGCAGATTCAATTATTTAATATATTATTCCCCGAAGAGGGAAATACTAGGAGACATCCACAAACTGAAAAAGTCACGGTTTGTTAAAATGATAATTCTGAAATCGGAACATGACAATTTTCTGACTGGTGGGAGGTGCAGCAAAGTAATTTTAACACATATTTATTGAAGGACGTCCTGGAATCAAGAGTGCCCAGTAAAGAGGAGCCAAAGGTAAGAGTTTGCAGATCTATGAGAGAAGCGAATCTATGAAAGCAGCAAAGCTGTGCACTCAAACTGACAAGAGACAAGGCAGGCGTTTCTGCACACGACCTTTAGATGTGGTAAACCGCGTGATGCTCACATTATGAGTATACGGCATTGGTTCTTCACGCAAGGTAAAAACACATACCTATATGTCTTCTTGTCATTTCTACGGTGGCATTTCGGTTGACGTTGGAGAGCAACCCTAGGCAGAACCTCTCTGAATTTGATGGATCTGTGAAACCGTCTACAGTGAGTGAGGGCTGTGATGCATGGAAGGTCTCTCCAACCCTCTGGTTTAATTCATAATATGCTATTGAACACCAAAATGCAGGCTCTGAGTAAGTAACTGGCTGCAAATCTGGGGAAAAAAACCAAACCCATAAAAGCAAGAAATGTTGTGTGAACAGTTCAAGCCAAGAAAAGACTGAATATCATCAGATATCTGCACATGCTCGATGGCAGCCTACATGGGCTGCAGCTCGGGAAGCAGACTTAACGTCTACACCACAGACTCCAGTCTCCATTAGATCATACCAGACTTTCAATTTTTCAAATTTCCCCCATCTCATGAGGTCATCTAATCTTTAAACATCTTTTTTAGACTTTCTGGTGGGTCATGTTCTACCAGTAGTTTTATCCTAGTTCCTGTTCAAATGTAAAAACCATCACGGGTAAAGTGAATCAACTTACATAATAAAACTAATTTTTGGTAGGATAAAGTGGAATAAAGCTGGAGCAAGGACTGAGTCAAAAGCCACAAGAAGAAAAATTCTATCATAATCACAGAATACAAAATACGACATATTTTTGACATTGTCTATTTTAACATGAGATTCTCGGTGAGTTACCCTAGTTACAAAAATAGAAAACCCACGCATATACAAGAAACAGAAAGTAATAAAACACAAAAAGCATGTAAGTAGAAACAGAATATAGAATCAAAAGAATCTACATATTTCATGGGAAAACTAGGACCACATGAATTTAACTTCTATAATTTCGATTAAAAGACACAAGGAATATCATGAAAATTTTGTAGAATATATTCCTAGTGCAGAAGCTGAAGAGAAATTGGGAAATACTGAGGTAAAATGAAGGCCAAGAATAAACTGCACAATGTACACACACACACACACAATCTCCCATATCCCATGCACATTTGTGGGGTGTGTGTGTGTGTATGTGTACAGACAAATAAATAGATATACACCATTTATATTAGTAATTGCTATTACAAAATATCATAAAATAAACCCCATATAAATCTAGCCATAATGTCATAAAACTTTCCATAAAGAATATGATTTCCATGGATAGAAAGATGTATTCCGTTTCTATACTCAGTGTGACAGTAGGAAACAGTTTTAATAGTATTAAGGCAAATTATCATTTTTAAAAAGCATGAATTTGAACAATCATTTGATTATTCATTGATATCTGTTTCTCATGTATATGAAAAATAATGATCAGAGAAGACATTTAATTAGCAGATATAGTAGAAAATGGTGAGGGAGGAAGTATTTGCCACTTACCCAAACTATGATTAACAGGGGAAAGAGTAGTAGGAGATAGTTCTGCCGGAGATCCTGAAACAAAAGGATTCAATTTTATAACAGATATGCAAGTACTTCCAGAAGTCCTGGCCAAATAATTATAAAATTGATTATATCTGGTTGTAATTATCACAAATAATACAGATAATTTACATCCTAACAATTCAAAATATGCAATTGTTATATGTGTATTCGATTTTAGAGGCTTCAATATATAAAACATACAAGAGGATGAACAGTCATAGCTTCTAGCCACCCAGTTCACCTTCCCAAAGGCATTCAATGTTCCTAGTTCTTTGTGCACCTTTCCAGAAACAGTCTATGAACCGCACAAACAAATGTATACAGTTCTGTGCCCTTCCACCATGACTTTTATCTACAGATGGTAACAGTTCTGAACTTTGCTTTTATACTACTGTACTCTACCAAGGATGTTGATGTTTCCTTATTTATCACTCTCCCTTCCTCCTTCTTTCTCTCTCTCTCTAAATATATATAAGCTGCATAACCTTACGTTATGGTGTATTATGATCCTGTATTGATGGATACTCAAGACTATTTTCAATCTTTTGCTTTATGAACCAAGATTACAATGACTGACCTTGTACATTTTGCATACTTTCAATCATACCATTCTCTTAAAAGAGAAACCTCCAGGTCAAAGGTTATACATCCACAATTTTGCCAAAACTGTCATCTATATAGACTGTACCAGTTTACATTCCCAGTGGCAACACAGTGAGAGGATTCTTATGTGTTACGACTGACAGGTGAAAACAGGGTTTTAACTAGTTTAAAAAAATTTTTTTTCTTATGTTTATTTTTGAGAGAGAGACAGGGTGCGAGTAGGGGAGGGACAGAGAGAGAGAGAGAGAGAGAAAGAGAGAGAGAGAGAGAGAGAGAGAGAGAGAGAATCAGAAGCAGGCTCCAGGCTCTATGCGGGGCTTAAACTCATGCCGTGAAATCATGACCTGAACCAAAGTCAGGACACTTAACTGCCTGAGCCACCCAAGCACCCCTTAACAAGTATACTTCTAATTTGCATTTCTCTTATAAAGACATGGAACAGCTTTATTAAACTTTTTTACACTGTATTCCTTTCTGTGAACAGTCTATTCTTTTGCTCACGTTTCTACAGTGGTGCTGATCACTCTCGCTGATTTACAGAAGGCTCTTTATGTACTAGGGATATCAGTCCTTTTATGATGCAGGTTACAAATATTTGGTCATCTGTCTTACGACTCTTCATAATTTTGATTAAGCAGAATTTAAAAAAAAACTTTCATGTGTTTTAATTTATGAATCATTTTGGGGGGTGTCCCACTTTGATAAAACAGTTTTGAGAGTTGGATAGTCCTGACTTACTCTTAACCTTAAGGGAATACTTCTAGTATTTACCCATTACGCAGGGCGTTGACTTGGGGGTGAAAGATAAAATTCCTTATTTAGCATTTTGCATCAATAATCTCAAACAATACTGGTCTGCAGATTTACGTTCTAAGTGCAATGTTACACTGCCTCATGAAGACAATCTAGAAGCTTTGTGTCTTTTTTAAGCTCTGGAACAGTTTACATTTACATAGTGTTGTAATAAAGCATTTTTAGTAGTTTGATAGAATTCCTGTGTAAAACTATTTGTAGCTAACAATTTTCTAGGGTTTACCCTAAGACATTTCTCTTTTTCTTCTATGAAACTTCACTGTTAAGATAGCTCTATTTCTGTGAGTCAGTTTTGGTAAGTTATATTTTCTTAGCAATTATCCATTTCTTCCAGTTTTATGTAAACAGGTTAAACCTAATCAAGAAAATAAGGAGAGGGGGCACAACTACATAAAATACACAAACACAGAAGAAAAAAACAGTTATTCAGAGACTACTTCACTCAATTCCATGCAATTGCATTTGAGAGCACACTTGTTGTAACGTTGCTACATAATTACAATTACAGAATACGTTTTGTTTTCTGATCATCTTCTATACATGTTTTGGGAAAGTTATGTTGAAAAGCACGACCCACAGACCCCACACTTCAAATAACACAGCAACAGAGCAGATGCAGAATAAGAGAGGTCAGACCCCAGCCCTGCGCAGACCTCCCCTCCCCCACACCATTCTAACCTCGACAAAGTACCAGGCAGTACAGGTGAGACGGCAACCCCCACACAACAGAGGAGTCAAAAACTAGAAAACAGGTGATAATTAATTTTTTGAAGGCAGAGCAATCTTCCTGAAAAAAATCAAGTTCTTGAGTTCTTTTTTTGTACTTCGGTTTGAAAACTCTGTTGGCAAGTCACAACAGGTCCAACTAAGAAAGGTCAAAATATATTTAGAACAATGAACTAGAACTCACCATTTCCTGAAGCTGGTATAAAATAAACAAAGCTACCATGAGAAATGGAAGCAACTGCCCAATTATTCATATCTTTCAACTATAGATTCCTCTATTAAATACCTGTCTGTCACTTATAAAAAGTGAACAGATTTAGAAAGAATGGTTCATTATAATGACTCCTAAAATTTTAAAGAGTTAAAATAAGCTAACAATTTAGAAACTTTTTTAAAGAGGCATATTAACTGATAATTAACCAAATACTCATATATGCACACCGCAACAAGTCTGCGACTTCCAGTAATGAGAAGTAATGAGTATCTTCAGTGTTCAGACACTGGTTTCCAGATGCTGAAGCATCTAGAAGAATCCTTGTGTATCTCTGCATACAAGTTTGCCTATGGTTGCAGGATACCTTTTCCAATAAGGAAATTTTAGATCAAAAAGAATGTATATTACATTCTTATAAGTGTCAGAGTACCTCCCAAAATGACTGGTCCCACAACTTACAAGCTAGTGTATCTTCACACTGTGTCACCATCTTCTGACAGCTGCCTATTTTATAGGGTTAGAGAGGCTGCTCTATATTTTATTTTTTGTTATAAATGGCACATTTGTGTACTTCTGTCCATTTTTCTATTACCTACTATCTTTTACTTCTTGATTCGTAAGCAGTTTTAAATTTCAAAATCGGGCATTTGGGTGGCTCAGTTGGTTTAACCATCTGACTCTTGATTTTGGTTCAGATCATAATCTCACAGTTTGTGAGATCAAGCCCCACCACTGGGTTCTGCAGTGACAGCAAGGAGCCTGTTTGCAATTCTTTCTCCCCAGTCTCTACACCTCCCCCAGCCCCCGCAGGTGTGCTCTCTCTCTCTCAAAATAAATAAACTTTAAAAAAATTAAAATTTGAAATTGGTTATTAAGACTGGTCATTCATTCGCAACTATTTCACCCGAGTTTTTCGTTTCTTTTGACATAGCTTTCAAGGTGACATTAATGTTTTAAAATCAGACATTTCTTTTTAGAGCAGGTTTAGGTTCACAGCAAAAGTGAGTACAATGAAAGTACAAAGAACTCCCACATACCCATACACACATACACAAACGACCTCCTCTGCAGCGAGCACCTAGCACCACGATGGTCCACTTGCTGCTAATCAAGGACACCAACACATCAACACATCACCTAAAGCCCACAGTTTATTAAAAAAAATTTTTTTAATGTTTTATTTATTTCTGAGAGAAACACAGCGTGACCAGGGGAGGGTCAGAGAGAGGTAGATACAGAATCTGAAACAGGCTCCAGGCTCTGAGCTAGCTGTCAGCACAGAGCCCAACGCGGGGCTCAAATCCACGAACCGTGAGATCATGACCAGAGCCAAAGTCAACGCTCAACCGACTGAACCACCCAGGCGCCCCCACTTTTATTTTTTAATATTTTATTTATTTCTGAGAGAGAGAGAGACACTGTGAACAGGGGAGGTTCAGAGAGAGAGGGAGTCAAAGCCCACAGTTTACACTAACTAGGGTTCATTCTTGGGCCATTCTATGGGTTCTGACAGGCATACAACATATATTCACCATGTAGTCTCATCAAAAATAAAACTCCCCTGTGCTCTGTCTATTCACCTCTTCTTCGCCTCCAACCCCTGGGATATCACATATTGTTTGGTTTTTACAGTTTTCCCTTTTCCAGAATGTCACATAGTTGCAATCATAAAGTATGTGGCCTTTTATAGTTTGGCTTCTTTCACTTGCATTGTGCATTTAAGGTTCCTCTATGTCTTTTTGTGACTTGGTAGTTCATAGCTTTTTAGTGCTGTGTAATACTCCATTCTCTGGATATATCACAGTTTATTTATCCATTCACCTACTGAAGAACATCTTAGTTGTTTCCACGTTCCGGCAATTATGAATAAACCTACTATCCACGTCCATATGCATCTTTCTGTGTGTCCATATGCATCTTTCTGTGTGTCCATCCACTTTCAACTCTTTTGGGAAACACCACTGAGTGTGACTGCTGGATCATATGGTAAGAGTATGTTTAGTTTTGGAAGAAGTGGCCAAAATGTGTCTTCCAAAGGGGCAGTACCGTTCTGCATTCCCACCAGCCATGAACGAGAATTCCTGACGCTCCGCATCCTCTCCGTTCGGCATTTGGTGTCACCAGTATTTGGATTTTGGCCATTCTCACAGGTGTGTGGCGGTAACATTTTAAATTTTATTTATTTAAATTGGTTGATATTTTTTCTGATGGTTTTAAACCTTGCATATTACTTGTTCAGATTATTTAAAAAATTCCTCATTGTCATGTACTAAAATATAATTATAGGGTTTCATTTTTAACATTTAAATGTTTGCTCCAAATGGAATTCATTTGGTATGAGATGAATTATATGTTTAGGATTTATAATTTTTTTGAGAAGTGTTAGTTTAGATTGCTTGAGCAAAATTAATGGCTAAAAACATAGTACTAATTTTGAGTATGTTAGCCAACCATAAATGAACAGATCTCACATGAAACAATAAAAATAGAATTATTTTCAAAAGGCACATACAAAAGGACAGTTAAAGAGGTCTTACGGGGATTTCACCTGAATGCCTTTGCTCTTCTATTACAGTAGAACCCTGAAGAACCGAAATTATCTACTCTTGTTTTTACACCAAACATGCTTAAAAAGCAAGCTTTGAAAAAAACA